GTTCGAAACCATTCTAATTAACCTGTATTAATCAAAGGAAAACCAGAAAAACGGTAACGCTGTGACACTTTTGACCGTTTTCTGTCACAACGTTACCGTTTTTCTGGTTTTCCTTTGATTAATACAGGTTAATTAGAATGGTTTCGAACTTGACAAGCTATCGCATCTTGTAGAGCGAACAATTTTCTATGAATGAATGAATTTTTTGAATGAATTTTTTATTATTCACGAAAAGTGTTCTAAACTGGTATACTTGTTCAATGTTTACCAGTTCCCCTACAAAAAAATATTTTATCGGCACTGGTTGTGCACGGGTGCGCAGCGGTGCCAAATAATTTTTTTTCTGGGCACCGATGCGCATCCGTGCCAGAAAGAATGTAAAAATCTCGTACCGGTGTGCACCAGTGCCGAAGTTTTGTTTTCAATCACCATTTTGTTTTGTCAATTTCTGTCTATATTAACGGCTACGGTCTACTTCTAATATTTCGAATGTCTTTCTGACTTCATTTTTTCCTTCTCATAAGAGAAGTGCCGAGGCAACGCCACATGGTTTTGGCATGTCAATGAGGTACTGATCAGTGCCGCACTCTAACACAAAATTCAGCATAAACAACCATAATAAAGAACGAATTAAATTGATTAAATAAATTATCAGTGCGGCACTCTTTCGGCAGAAATATATCGGCACCGATGCGCACAAGTGCCAATCGGCACTGGTTCGGCACTTGCTGGGCACGGGTGCGCACTGGCAGTGCTTCACTGGAATTTTTTTATAGGGTCGTCTTTACTCTTTTAGACACGCTTTTCAGATAGTCCCCAGATCGATTTTCGGGGCTGTTTGTACAACAGTGTATTTTCATAACGAATCAACATTCAGAGTCGAGACACTTTTCATTTTGTAGAGAAATGTTTAATCTACTTAATCATCTAGTTGCCATTTTAGATTAGTTTGTAGCTTTATTGCAATAACTTTTCAAAATACAGCAAAAAATGGAGGCCGTTAGCTGGACAAGCCGCTTATTAGCTTCCGTCCTGTCTCAGATTCATCAGTATCGAAATGTGTTAATTATCTAACAGATAAAAACTGTATATGTTTTATCCTCAGTAATAAAAATGATTCAAAGGAATAAAATCTTAGAAAAAAAATAGCAATCTTCTCGAGATACCATAATATCATTATCCAACTGAATATTTACATTTTCGAAAACGTAATTGCATCTCTTTCGATCCTTTTAACACTCTAATGTACCTATGCAAAAGATAGAAACAAAAAAATATGTTCTCAATAACAATTTGGCAATGACCATCTATTTTTCGAAAGGGAAAAGAAATAAGTGTAACCTTTTTTCAGATTTAAAGCAAAATTTATTTAGATCGTCATGTTAACTACTGTATTCAAACTTCACACATGTAGACTTTTGTAACGTCAAATCATAGAAATCGATTTTTACCTCATTGCTAAAAATCCGCTTGCATCATCACCCATACTATTCAAACGACTTTGAATATTCTGAAGAAATCCTGGTAAATTCGATACATTCGTGGTGCCAGTAGCATTGATATCTGTTGTATCTGCATCTGGTGCTGCTGTTACCGGAACAGGCTGAGTCGAGGTGGCTCCAGTAGACTGAGTTTGTTGCGCATTATCACCTTTTTCCATAGTCGAACTAAATAGAAACAAGAGAAAAAAACTGTGTAATAAACACTGATGATATACAGTCCTATCCAGAATCGGTTCTACAATACTTACGAGATCAGACTGTGTTTCTTGCTTGTAAATAGAAGACACAAATCTACAAAAGCATCACAGAATAAAGCATAGCCGCATCAGAAGCGCCGATGAGCGATATGAGCGTAAGTGGGTAACTGGACGGCGTCACAACTTTTTTTGGCAAGCCTATATTAGAAGCGTTTCTTTTGCTGAACGATGCAATCAAAAAAAAGCTTTCATAAGCAAATACAGAAGATTAACGCAATTAATTGTTGATCTTCTTTTTGCATTCTAATTCCCTAACTTTAGTCAAGAGTCTTATAAAATAGTTGTGGGTATCGGCATGTTTGTATGCGAAACATGGAAAAATGGTCGTCAGATAGTCCATGGACGAGCCAACCATAAGAGAAAACCAACAGAAATGGTAATTTCATTATATTCTAAAGATATGTAGAAAACAACTAAGAAAACGTCAGACATCATCAGTATGTTTAATTTACCAGCATTAACTGCAGCAAGTAAAATGTAATAGAGCACACATAAAGCTGCGATATACACTAGAAGTGAAAAGATTTTTATTTCTTAAACAAATGAAACTGCTAGACCGATTATTTATCTAATAAACTACACCAAGATAGATAATTTTAACCATCAATCGTCCATGAGCAGTTATTCTAGGAAACTGGAATTTTCAAGAACTTTTTGAGTTTCTAATTTTTGAATTTTGTGTGGGACGACGGATGAAAGTTGAAACAGATCTCTAGACAAGAATCAGTAGAACACCTGGGGATTACCTGGAGGACTTCAAAGACCTTTCGCACTACTGGATCTAGTATAGCTTCGCTATATTCAGACTCGATTAAAAATAACATATATACATGCATATTTCATTTTCAAAGTATTCTGCAGTGTGGTGACTGAAGATTATTAATTAAGCGACAGAAGGGAGGTGTGGGCTTGCTTCGTTTTTGTAAATGAAAACTGTTGGATAATGTAAGGATGCAACCCCCAACCGGTTGGGAGCAATTCGTATTATCTTCACTTTGCTGCTTATGAATATTTGCTAGGCATTTTAGGTCATAGGCCTTGTCCAGACTAAAAAAGTTAAGTGGGAAACTCGTAATCGTATTGGATGAAAAAATTAATTCCAACTTAACCCGTGTGTTCGACATGACTTAAGTTAATACTTGAGTGAGAAAAGAGTGTAGTCTGGACATGAGTATAACACAGCTTAAGCCAAAGAATCAAGCGAATGGTAGATGAATGTTACCTAGTATAAGATATAAAGAAGACAACTAAGACAAGGTCAGATACCATTCGTAAATATGTATAATTTTCCAGAATTAAATGATAAAGTTAAAATATATAATACAGAGCACAACATTACGGTGTGACTAGGAGGTGGACCGTTACTGTTACTAGTAAAGAGTAGACGATTCAAACATTACCGTTACCGATAACGAGTAACGGATAACGGTTTAACTATCTAACACGTATCCTCTTTCTCTCCTGAAATAATAGACTCTGTCGCTTATTTTGGCTAGTAAAGAGCGTTATTTGGCTTCTTCTTTAGCGTGAATTGAGCTGTAGAGTTTGAAAATTTATAATAAACTCTTCTGTTTGGACAATTCCTTGAGGGGCGAGAGTTATATCGAAAATCAATCTATTTTCGAAAACGAAATTCGACACTCTCTTTGCATCTTCGTCAATAGGAATATTAGTATATAGGGATCCTTTATCTGTTGTACCAAACCGAAATCTGGCCAAATGAGCCTTCGACTAAGAATCTTTCCATTCACAGATTCAATCTTAACAAGTAATTGTTTTGTACTATTAAGAACTGTATAGAAATAGTGGTCTTGTATTGGCCCTGTGGTGACCTTTTAGCAGGGTTGGCAGAACTGATGACTCATGGGGGACGAAACAAACAATCACCATGACGATTTCTTTCTTCCGTCCCCCATGAATCACTTTTAGCAACCCTGCCCAGTAACCTACTAAAAACTTGTAGTGACTTTGTAGTGGTCAGAGTAATGAATGGAAGCAAGCAATAGATATCCTTCTAGCTCAATGTATTTCGAAGGCCATGTTTCTACTATATAAATTAATGTACAGATATGACACATAACTTTCTCACCTCAAATTTCGACCTCACTAAAGTAACTAGAATATCAGCCATTTTCTGGCCATTGTTTTAGATAAAAATTCTTTACTTCACACTACAGTGCTGAAAATTGTTACCGCAGTGGCCTTCTTCTTTCTCCTTTTTATGGTCTTCTTCTTTCTCCTTTTTATGGTCTTCTTCTTTCTTAGCCTGATTTTGTCTAAAAATATATTGAAGATTGTTTTCTGAAAGCTCTATTTAGTTTCCATTCAACATTTACGCCTCACAGTCCCTTACAGTGTAGTGTTCTTTCTCCTTGTCAAAAGTTATTCACGAAAAATTTACGTTTGCCACGTGTATAACGAGTAACAATTTTTAAAATCATCTTTCTAATAACTTTTGATCACGTTTGTTTTTTATTTTCTGGTGCTATATTTTTCAACACATCTGTGCTGTATCCACGGATGGACAAAAGACATTGGAATCAGTTGATGAAATGTTAGTAAACTAAACTGACTTCCATGTTTATTCTATTTGTGCGTGTGATGATGGCATTAGCGTGTTTCGCCAGCCTAAACTACATTCTCAAATTTCTTTTTCAGAGGTTTTGTTGCTGACTTGTCCCAGTAATAAAATACATCTTTCAGTGAGGAAGCATATCCCAGTCGGGATATATTTAACATTTTTACAGCGGAAGAAATTTCTGTTATATCCCGATCGAGATATAGATTTTTGAATAGTCACTTTTGTTTCAAAAAAAGATCGCTGACAGAAAAAAAGAGTAAACCATAAGGAAAAAAGAATCTAGTGTAGTTTTTCTTCCTCTTTCTAATACTGATGTCAAAATTTTTCGCGAACATCATTTTTTCGTTAACGAATCTTATTTAAAAAATTCGAATTTATATCTCGATCGGGCTATATGTTTTTTGAGTATATCCCGATCGAGATATAGAGCATGCGTCTCTAGAAATTACACAATTTACATGAAAAGTACACGGAGAGAAGTCTCAGTTGTTGAGGATGAACGTCTTTCGACGTGTTTGGTCATGTTATGATATAATAAAGCTTATAACCGCGTACACATAGGTAATAAAACAAAGAAACTTATTTTTATTCTCATAGCGAAGGACTTCCCAAAGTGAAGTTCAATTCGTATACCTGCAATAAATACCTCGTTACAAAAATAGATGCAATTTTGCGCACTGCTGTCAACCATTAACAGTCCACGGTAGAGATGTGCAACCCGACCCGAAGGTTGGATACGGGTTCTATTTTTTTTTAATTTACCGAAAATCGGAAAGTTCTAGTGGAAAACCTACAAAGTTTAAGTGAAATCAGGATCAAAAACTGAGTCGACGATATGTATTTCGAAATTTTAGTTGATTTTCAGGTTTCGATGAAAATCCCGGTAGTTTTTTCAGTATGAAATTTCGAAATATATATCGTCGACTCAGTTTTTGATCCTGATTCCGAATATGATGTTTTCATTGCTCAGAAGTTGAGTTATGATGGATAAAATTGGGAATTACGGGCAGAATTCCGACTTTTTCGGATCTTATTTAGAAAGTGAATTTTCTCAGCAACGAAACAATATTTTATATAGAGATGCAGAATCTACTCGTGAGATTGGAAAATTTCCCTCGATAGAAAATATTTTTTCAAAAACTTCTCTGACATAACCCATGAACAGAATTTCCTTTTGCAATATATTTACAAAAAGATGTTTCAATTTTTCAAAACTTTCCCCGAATCAATACGTTTCCCCCGACGACCGTCGAAGCAAACAGGCAGATTCTGCAGCTCTGATTTTAAAAGAAGCGGGTCGTACTTTAAAGCTGAAGTTTCAACGAATCTAATGGTATCCAAACCAGGGCTGTAGTCCTTGATACAAAAAACTCGATAGGTTTACAAAATTCGGTACCACCGTTTGAGAGTACTAGTTTGGGAGGTCCGTGTTGGACAGCCTTTTAACTTTTAACCTTATCAAATCACGTTTTCTTATTCAGTTTTTGACGCAGAATAAGAAAAAGAATAATTTGAAACCTACATACTATTATGCAGCACGAAAATTCTCGTAAAACGAATGTGATCGATTTTCGAGTTTTTTCGATTTTTCGCCATGAAAACAATTTTTTGAAACTTTAAAAAATATATTTTCTTAATCAGCTCAACGAGCTCTATCGAACGATGTATAATAAGTTCAAAAAATTTTGCTCAACTTTTGCATTACGCGCACCTTAGGCAAAATAAATCATGTTCTCTCTCGCATCGCGACCACAACGAGAGCAGCTAAGATATACACATTCGTGATCAACGTAAAATTCTCTACAAGATAGACTAGGTCTCGTCTCTTTTCTAGGGGAGTCACTCAAATATGTTCCCTCGTAAGACCTTTTTTTGCGTTGGATTTTCGTAACCCTAAATACATCACAAAAGAATCGCATTCAATTAACATCATTCAGAATAGAATTGAGCTTGAAGGCAATCTAACTAGGTATAAAATGCTTCAACAGTTTGAATCCTTAGGTAAAATTTGCATAAATATTAATTGAATGCAATTCTTTTGCGATGTAGGTAAGATCACGAAAACCCACCACAAAAAAAAAGTCTAAGACTATAGTAACGGCATCGCTTGACTGTAGGACTAGTTAAGGAACGGGGTGAACTGTTGATAAGCGTTATTCAGTTCATTTTATTCGTTGGCTGTTTATTTTCTTTTTTCGTATCGCCATTTTTTCCATATTATAAATCCAATAGCTTATGATTAGCCAAGCATCCGTAGCCTTTATTTTCTAAAGATAAAGAAATTGAAATCACGAATATATTATACATACAAGCTAGCTCGACGTCTGGATGTCAGTAGAGGATTAAGTTATTTTCAAGAAATGATACTTGTTACTTAAAAATGATTCGGCGTTACAATCAACTTATGATGAATAATTATCTAGTATAGCAGATTTTTCGGTTTTGAGAAACAAAGTGCATTTGAAAAGGAATGCTGATCGAGTTATAAAACCATATAAAAGTTAAGAAATAAAATCAACTGGATATGTGTGGTACTCAGTTCAATGGCGATCTCTTTCGGCTAATTTTGGTCTACTGGTCTGTCCAAAATGAGAGTCGAAGTAAAACAAGGAAAAGTAAAATTAATTGGGATGACGAAAATGAAAGCAGAACGCAAGAGCATGATAGTTCGGCATTCATAAGTTTTTTTTTATTTTTGATATTTATAATTCTATCATAAAATTGGACAGACTTCGATGATTATAAATTGACAATTTGCGACGGTTAGGTTTATTCTTCTTCATCATGATAAACAGAAGGGAGCTGAAATAGATTTTACAAAAATACTTATTTCTGTTCTAGATATACTCTTTATTTCACATTCAAAATAACGCAAAATAAAAACACTGTTATGGATAGTCCAGAATTTGATTCACCAGATAGATCTTTTGATAGTGAAGAAAATGCACTAACAAAATATGAGCATGAATTAGAAAAAATCATGAATGAAAGTGTGCAAAATGGAAAAGATTTATATAATCAAAAATTATTTCTTTCTTTTCAAAATACCGCAAAAGCACTCACAAAAATGTTTCGAGGTAAGTTATTTTCTGTGAATGCCTCTTTTTTCTATAAATGTTTGCTTTAGAACGATCGAATGGCACTGCAAATTGGACCTCGTTTCAACTTGCAGCAGGCTCAGTGACTATGCTATATAAAGGTAGATACTGTCTGTTAACAAACTGCAAAAAAAGACATTTTTCATCGTTTGTTTGTATTTAGAAAGTCTTGATGCTTTTAAAGATGCCATTGATCTTGGTACAGTTTATGGAGAACAACGTAAAACAAAAGAATTACTTTGCTGGGCAAGACGAAAGCAACGTCGTCATATACGAACAGATGAAGTTTACGATTATTTAATTGGACGACCACCATATCGATTTGTGCGACCACCTCCTGTCGGTAGTGGTTCATCACATCGTCGACGTGATTCATCCGTTGTAAGAGAAAATTTAATAGTAGATAATTCTCAACAGCAACACATAATACCACCAGCTCCAATCGATACAAACGAATTACAAACATTTCGACAAGCACTCGTTATGCATGGTAAGTTCGCGCCGTTAAACAAGGTGTATGTCTTGTAAGATTTGGTGATAACTTTTGACTGATGGGATTCTTACGACTAAATTCTCGATAATCTGAACGAGGTACATTTCTTTTTTAATTTGACCAAAACTGGAATACAACTGAAACTGTAGAGAAATTTTTGTTTTCTTTTTCTATTTTAGATATGGATAGTGCTAATCGTGTACCATCATCAACTGACAGTAATAGTTATTTATATTCGTCACCAACGACACAAGCGTTACCACAAACGCCACTAGGCACAACTATTAATTCAACCTACCCGCGTCATCAACAACAACAAACAAATTCTTCAACTCAACAAACATCCTTTAATTCAGGCAATAATGAACTTGATACTTTTCTTTGCCAACAAGTTGCAAATCATATGGCAAGAAAACGTGATTATTATTCAGCATTAGCCGATGACTTAACAGATGGCATACCACATAAAACGAAACGTGGACGACATACGTAGTGAACAATTTTTATTTTTCTTCTGTTTTGTATCTATAATCATCACATGTAACTATACTGCAACCATATTTTTTTTCTCTGTGCTTTTTTTATTTGGTGATAAGAATAAAAACTATCCACTGTTGTTATTAATCTTAATGACGACACAGTACTCTTTTCTTCTCTCGTTTTGTCTGTCATTTAAGTACTAGAAATTGATTTCTTGTTTAAACAATGTGGTACAGATTTAATCATTTTAATTGAGAAGATCCTTCTGTTTCTATGGTGTGCTCTAATCATGAAACGAAGAGTAAGTATTAAAAGGGTTGGATCTAATGCAGAGGTTGAATCAACTTTGTGGCTCACGCTCAAAAAGGAAATGTGCATTTTTTCATATGATTTGTTTTTTTTCAAAATTCACACAATCTAAATGTTTGTTTTTCCTATTGAAAATCTTCTCTTCCATTTTCTCGCTAAAAAATAGTTTTCACGTACCATTAGTGGTTCTTGCAAAAAAAAAGGATTTTTGGCACATCACACAAAAAATATGGATACTTTGAATAGCCACTATTGTGTTCGCCCACTCTTCTTCCGTTCATTTTTTCCACTATTAGACATGTACGCACTATAATACCCAATATATTGATTATATTTGTTTTTGTTACTTAGCTGTTTTTTTCGTTTGCAAAGATTAAGAAGAAATATAAAAGCAAAACACAAAAAATGAATATAGAATATTTTTAACTGTTTTGAAAAACAGTTTTTCATGGAGTAGGATACGTCTTATTTTCAAATGCAAGCTAGATAAACGGCATATGTGTACTAAAAGTTCTCTCCAAGGTTTTAAAGTTGAAATTTTTTTCGGTTACTATTGTGTTTTTGTTTAATTCTTGAAGGTTATTCGGACGAACACGAACAGTGAACGTCCCTTAATGTGATGTATTTTTACTTTATAAAGAATAATATTCATACACTTTACTAAATATCTAATTCAATACCCATTTTGCATCGAGAATTTTTCAAATATGTTTTAACATAATTTTTAAGAAGAAAATTTTCTTCATGCACTGAGGATGCATATCGGTGTGTGCGAGAGATGATCGTATATGTGATAAGTATTTACTTTGTTTTAACTTCGATAATTAGTTATCCTATTGTAATTTTTGTTTAGAAATAGCAATGGAGTTTTGGATGGTCTTTCAAGCACAAAACTTTTTTACAAAATTACCTTGATATGGCCAGATTTTACGTGTAAAAATACGCTGATGAGTTGTAGGCACGATAAAAAATTAAAAATGCTCCGTTTAGTTACACAGGATGTAATCAGATAATTTAGAGAATGTCGTTCAAATGCAGAAACGAGTTCTTTAATGCCAGAGAGAAGTATAGTCCTATTGATCCAAACATAGGATTTCAATTTTCTTGAGCAATTTTCTATAAAAGTGTACAAATTGGATCGTAAACTAATTATCTTGTTTAGAGTTATGATATACCGTCGCAACTACTATCAATTTTATTTGTTATATGATGGCACCTCATCCGGATGTTCATACAAAAATTACATAACGATGAATCAACTACTCGGCACTCATTTCACTTTTAAAAGAAATTAAAATCCAAAGATTTCATTGTCTCTTTATAGTGAAATCTTTACAGTGAATATCAGTTTTGTAATTTGATCTAAGAAGCTTTAGGTTGATGTACAACTCTCTGTTTACAACTCTTACGCTGAATCCGAAAAAAAGCTATCATCCAGTGTGTTAGAGAAGTTTCGAATCGTCTCTTCTGTCCCTCTTTAGTTAAAGTTTCGGTACTATGGTGGAAGACAAGGCATTTAGATATCGTTTTTGTATGCAAACGATCCCCAGTATCATTGTCAAAAACCTTTTTTTGTTAGAATTGAATCCGTAATAGAAATCCGTAGTTTGCAGTTTTCCCTCTGCTGTGCCACTTTTCTTTAGTTTTATCCAGTTAGATCAATAGAGTTGTTTACTTTTAGAATTTTTCTACTCGACCTTGGAATATTACGTACGTAAAACGAAAAGTTGATCTCATTTTTTGTTCTTTTTTTTATCACATTGTGATATATAACAATGGCCAGTTTACGTCTAGTATGTTCACTATTCAAAAAAGAGATTCATTTATTCTCATTTTTGTAACCGTCTCAGTGCATTCTACAATGAAAGAAAACCGAAAACGATCCATTTTCTAGTTTATCTGTCCCACGTGTAAATATCAAATGTTATTTCGATCTAGAATCTAAATAAGCTAAACTTCTACTGTTTACCGTTCTTAATTGCTGTTTGTTCTACTATGACTAATTAATTCTCAGAGATGGCATCAAATTTTGTTCATCAATTTAATCGTTCAACAAGAGAAAAACAAAATTCGTCGTCGATGAAGTGATCGTCATTTCTTATATTACAAATTGATCGTTATTTAAGATGTGAGAATTATTCAAAGCGTATTAATGCCAGTGTACCGTTGTTTATGATAGCTGTGCTCGAATACTTAATTGCTGTAATTGTTGAAGTTGCTGCTAATATAGCAATTAATAATAACAAAAAACACATTATACCAAGACATTTACAACTGGCAGCAAGACACGATGAAGAGTTAGATTATTTCAAAATGTAAAGATAGTGGAAGGTGGTGTGTATTCCTCGGTGTAAATTCGGTGTTGTTGTCAAAGAAACAATTCGGTGCATCAAAATAATTACCATCAAAAATGTAATGAGCAATAAATCATGATTTTTTTCTTTTTGTATTTTGTGTATAGATGTGACCTTATATATTCTTACTCGTTGCTTTCTACTTTCATCTCGTATATCGTATATTTATACATGTGTTTATGTTAGTATTTTTATTTAATAGTTAAATATTATTTGTATCACTGTTTGTATTCGATATACGGTTGTCACTTTTGTTTTGATGTGTTTTTTTTACTAGAGATAACCGGTGTGATAAAAAACAAATACTTTAGAATAAAGGTTTGCTAATTATAAAATAAACAGGTTTATGATAAAATTTGCTTAAGAAGTGGAAAGAGAATGTCAGTGCTTTTTTATAAATTAAAAGGAAAGTAATTGAAATGATCTATTTCAATATTCTCTCCTTCGAAATTATTTTTATCTACTTGATCAATGCGTTTTAGAGTTCAGTGAGATGGCTGAATTGAGCTAGAATTCGTTTTTTTAGTAATATCTACAAATGTGGCGTTTTTTCTAAATTTGGATGGTCATGGCATTTTGACTGGTACCACTAAAATCATCTTTATCTATTTTTTTTCATGATGGTTCGAAACATTGTCAATTTCAGAAAAAAAATTAATACCAATCGGGCTTTATTGGTAAAAAGAAGACTGATTGCTTCCTCATTTTTGTATGCCACATTTTTACCTGGATCGTGTAATTGCACAGGTTAATAAAACTTTTTGGCGTTAACAATTAACGCCTATTTCTTTTTTATTTTAGATAAACATTTCAATCCTACCATCTAATCATTATGCCGAATTAAATCAGGAGATGTTATAGGCTTATCTTGAAATAAACATAGTTTAAATCAAAAGTTTAGCATTATTAGATATCGATATCATTCGAAACAAGTCAGATTCTCGAAGATTTTCATCTTACTATTGAATTTATTTTAAGAATGGAAATCGAAGTAGTAACATTTATTTGAACAAAAAAAAACCTAAATACTTTTCACCGAGTTTTTCACTAATAAATTTTTTTCTCCAATTTTTGTATGTTGTACTGCTCTCCATTTCATAAAATACGAATAACATAATGGACATGGTTTTTGGAACTGTGTGCAATCTTATAAACATTGAAAAGAAATAAAAACATAGATTATAATAAATCAGATAGTCAAGTTAATGGGGCAAAAAGACAACAGCAGCGGTAGAGCCGAAAAACTGATGCTATTTTTTCAAGACTATCTTAATATCAAGTTAAAAATTGACGATAAATATTTTAGATGTCTTAGAACTGACAAATAAAAGTGAATGACGAAACAACAGGAAAATTTAGTTTTAAATTTCGATAATATTGAACATAGTCATCCAATGTGTAAACATGGTCCATGTTTATTATTTGTAAAACAATCAGAAACAGAGAACAAATATTATTCATGTTCAGCTTGTCGGGATTCTGTTGATTGCAATATTCATATACCATATGTTGAAGAACAAAAATTGCTACCAAATCAATATAAATCATTAATAGAATATCATGAACAAGCATATTATTCATACATTTCAGAAATTAAAAAACTTCGAAAAAATGCACGATCTGTACGAAAAAAATTTAAAGAAGTATGCTCATGGTTGTGATTTCTCCCTTTCATTAATTTGTAATAAAGAAAAATGAGAATAATAATTGAAAATTTGTTTGTTCTATATATAAACAGTTATAATTCGTGTATCACTTTCTTTTTCATTTTAGGCATCATCTCACAATGCTAATAAACGAAATTATTGTAAAACGTGTATGTGTTTATTTTCAACATCCAATTTGAACATCCATCAAGATCATGATTGCGCTTATGCTCTAAATAACAAACAAATGAAACAACCATGTCAAAATTTATTGAAACCATTACAAAAGAAAGAAAGTAATGCACAATTTTTCTTTAAAGAAACATTTATTAATTATTTAATTGATAAAGTATTATTAGTTGGCCAATGGGATGGCATTTTGTGTATTGGTTGTCCTACTATATTTGAAGCGTTAAATGTTCAAGATAAGATAAAAAGAAAAAAATTATTCTTATTGGATTTTGATCAACGTTTAATAAATTTTTATCCTCGTAAAAAATTTTTAATGTATAATATGTTTAATGGTCATTTTTTTGAAGATTCCATTCCATTTCAACAATTTTTATCATCTATTCAAAATTGCTTAATTCTTTGTGATCCACCATTCGGTGCTCTCTTTGAAGCATTAGCTCAATCAATTAAAAATATTCATACATATGGACAAAAAACTATTCAACATTGGAATTTAATTTTATTTAGTCCTTATTTTCATGAAAAATGGATACAAAAATTTTTTACACTATTCATGCTAGATTACAAAATTGAGTATACTTCATTACCTCATCTTTGTCGGGGAAGAAAAGGTCTGTATTCATTTAATAATAATCATTTTTTTTAAATTTTCTTTTTTTCCAAAAGGTTCTCCAGTTCGAATGTTTACCGATTGCAAACTTAATACATTTCCACCATTAGATGACAACAATTACAAATATTGTGACTATTGTCAACGTTATACACTATTAACCAACAAACACTGTTTTGAATGTAATTCGTGTACATCAAAAGATGGCTTACCCTATTATCATTGTAAATTATGTCAAAGATGTGTTAAATTTGAACGTGTTCATTGTAAAAAATGTAATGTTTGTCATTTGCCTGATCAATGTCTGAATGATAATAAAAGAAAAATTAAATTGTCGACAAAAAGTCGAAAAAGACTTAAAATTTGAGAAATAAATGTAATTCTACTAAAAATCACAGCTTTTGTTGCAATGGAAGGAGGTGAAACACGGTTCGCTACAAATTATATAATAGAAGACTATCATTACATTGAAACAAGTTAACTTTTAACTAAGATCTGATTGCAAATGACGTTCTACTCATGATAGTATTTGTTGACTGATATATTTTGTTTAACTTGAACATAAAATGCTCTTATTGACTATTAGATATCACTTTTCAGTACCTAAAATTATAGCGGAGTTCACTCAAGAGACACTCTATGAAAATCAACCTTATCTATATATATATATGACAGCTAATGCTTCTCCAACTGATTTTCTATGTATATTCGGATGAAATGCCAATAAGCAATGGGAATAAGTATATGTTTCAACAGTATATACATTGTTTTCATTTATAATAAAACAAAAATGTAGTCAAAGTAATTTTACTCCGTTTTATTTTCAATTCTGTTATCTACCTTGATTAACAGTTACGTTTGAAGCACTGTTACTCATTCTTATCATCGTAAAGGTGTTGATATATCATTTTTAGTCGTCTTATAACTGAATTTATGTTGTCTAATAGTTTTATGATTTCAATAGTGTAAACTACATTGATATTATGATCACAGCAATTCTCGTATTTAATCATCATGGTCAACCGAGAATAACAAAATTTTATGAACATTTTCCAATTGATGTTGAACAAAAAATAATTCGTGAAACATATCAACTTGTATCAAAACGAGATGTTTCACAGTGTAATTTTTTAGAAAGTGGTCTTCTAGTTGGTAAAAGTAGCGGCGATCATAAATTAATTTATCGTCATTATGCCACGTTATATTTTGTATTTTGCATTGATTCAAGTGAAAGTGCATATGATATTTATGAACTAATTCACTCATTTGTCGAATGTCTTGATCGATGTTTTGAAAATGTATGTGAATTAGATTTGATATTTCACGCGGACAAAGTTCATCATATTCTACAAGAAATATGTCTAGGTGGAATTATTCTCGAACGTAATATGAGTGAAATTCTTCAGGCAGTAAATGAACAATCGAAAATTGAAAAACAAGAAAGTGGACTTGGTGGCGTTGCGGGAAAAGTCAAATCGGTTGTGGATACAAAAACAGCTAAAATTAGATTAGATTTAGAGAAAAAATTGGATTCAAGATTGGATTGATCGTTGACTCTACAATAAGCATGCTGATAGAAAAATACTTTTAAGTAATAGTTTTCTATTATTAGCATTAATTTTTTAATGTGAATAAAGTCTAAATGTTAGTTCCATTCTAGGGACGTATTTATTATATGACAGATCCAATGGAAATTTCTTTTAAAGTCTTCTGGTGCCCATATGAAACTTGCGAAGCGGCAATGAGAACAGTTAAGATTTTGATTAAACGATAAACAGGAAACTATGAGCGAAAAATGAGAAAGCTAAAATGTTTCTTTGATCACAGAATATTTCTAGATACGAATGATCATCAAAATCGTTGTTAGGTAACATCTTCACTCATACTTTTGAGTAGCGTGTATCTGACAGTTTTATTTTTCAACCAAAATATAATGTAAACTAAAATAAACAATATGTGAGAAGTATCGTTATTTACAAATGTAACGTTGTGCTATTTTTCCGGTGTTCTTCACTTTTTTTTGTTTTCCTAATGCTTGAATAGGTGTTTTATCATTAACTTGATACAAGTTAAATAAAATAACTAATCTAACAGAATGTTTACACGAAGATATAGGTTTCTTCTAACAGGCCATGTACATAGCTGTAATGGTACTACTAATCAACAGGATTAGTTATATATCGAAAAATCATTGAACAAAAGCCACTGGGTGACACTAATTTAAACAAATCGACTATGTTATTTTTACATTTGATAATAGAGCAACATAAAAAAATAAAGAATATTATTAGTAATAACTTTAACACCATTGCTAAAGTTCAACTTGATTTTCACTTATGAAAACTTTTGGTGAAAAATAAACATCTAAAGAGAAAAGAATCTTTTATTCTTGTTTTTAATCACTATTTTGTTTTTTATTTGTTTTTAGTCTAGTGGAAGTACATACCCCTGAAGCATCATGACATTCATAGATCAACATCATACGAGAAAATAGTAACAAAATAGGGTTAAATTTACATCGAAATTTGCAAAATCTGATCTGATTGAGAAAGCAATGTCACAGTTTATAGTTCTAACTCTTTTGGATTTTGAAAATATTGATCAGTATAACTTGTTCCCATACTTTCAAGCGACAGCTATAAATAAATCTACCAGATGTTGAATAAATTGTTATTGATCTGATTAGCTGCTGTAGATCTAGCTTAGTTGCAGAATACATTTTATAACAAAATGCTATTAATATAACCGATATTTTATTGCTCGTTTGTGTTGTTACTACTTTGTATTTTAATACGGAAATCTTACGAATAAATGATACTTTACAGTCGTTCGGTATATACACTGTTTCTTTCACAGATTTAACATTAGTGTGATCGTCATTTTTATGGATAATGGAAATTTTATTGTATCATTTATTATCCAACAGTTCATAATTGTAAAGAGAAATTATGCTACCATTGAGAAATAACAAGTTGCTATACGACTATTTACCGGTAGCATACTTTATCATAAAAAACTAAAAACAAACATTTTCTACAAAAAATACGACTGTTTTTTAATCTATTAATCTCTTTTCGTCATCTTTCCTATCAAAATAAATGGTATGGTACAACTGATTCGAAGTTCTTGTATAAGTTCAGGACAACCGTCTTGACTGACGTGTTTTTATTTAATAATAGTTGGGTATGAGTGTTGATTATATTTTCTACTTAGAATATAGAACAGATGGGAATACACATTCGAATTTTCATGTCTATTTAACTTTGACACGCAGTATTTTTCTCTCTCTTCCTCTCTCTCTGTATATATATATATATATATGGAATATATATAGATATATAGATATACACACTAAGTAATGCGATCCATATTGCTGAAAATTATGTCTTTAGTTACATTATCTTACACATAGTTATACAAACAGGAGATTATGCTATGTTCATTCTTTTCTCATCGAAGAGAAAGAAAGAGAGGTGGGACGAATGAATATTTTTTCAATGATAATATTTTATTTTGCTAATAAATGTTTGGTATTCGGAAGTTTTTTTGTCTTAGTTATTTGTGAATCCTACTGTGTATGTTTTTTTTCTATTATGCCTATGTCAGATATCTTGGCGGAGGTCTTTTTTTTTTCTTCTTTCTCATGCAGATATGATATATTGTTACATTTTCCTTTTTTTGTACTAGGAAATATACCATATATATCAGAGGGTAAAAATGATGTAGCTTCCGCTAGATAACTTTTCGTAAATATAGAAAAATCGAGATTATCATTGTGCTGACGTATGTTCGTTGAAAAAACATGTAGAAAGTAATGAAGGAACTAAAAAACATTGCTAGCTGTAATAACACACAGCGGAATATCATCCATTTCTTTTTTTTCTCTTAATGGTATACATATCTCTTCTATTTCTACATACGGTTAACACTTAGTTTCGTCGTGTATGTGTATTTCATATCTCACTCTCTGTTTTTTGTATTGAGTTGGCATCAGTGACTTTATTGAAAAACTTGATAGTATCACCTTTCTAATTTACACAGACGATTATAATTTACCTTAACAATTGTTTTTTTCATCATTAACTAAAGCGCATTAAACTATAAATCATCCTGATGGCAACACGTTATATTGAGAACGGAGGAAATCAAGCGTACTACTTTCCATCGGATGGCACAGCGCAAAATCAACCTTCGACAACAGATGTCAGTACTCCAACCTATGTCAAGCAACCTCGTGCAGGAGAGTACACACCGTACGCGGCTGGTGTTGGTGCCATTTCCCGACAACAACAACAACAGCAAAATCAGTCTTTGTCTAATCTTGGTGGACAAAACGCGCAAGAACCTCGTACATCAGCGACCACATATCAGCAACCTCAACAATATGCCGATGATTACTATACGCCGCAACAGAGAAAACAGGAGGAACATTCGCCATATGAGTATGAAACTCAAACGGCTGTTGCTGGTTTTAAAATAAGTTCTCAACAACAACCGCATCAGCAACAACAACCGCATCAGCAACAACAACCGCATCAGCAACAACAGCCGCATCAGCAACAACAACCGCATCAGCAACAACAACTCCACCAGCAACAACAGCCTCACCAGCCACAACAAACCCACCAGCCACAACAACCACAACAGCCCTACCAACAACACCAGCAACAACAACTCCACCAGCCACAACAACCACAACAGCCCTACCAACAACACCAGCAACCACAACTCCACCAGCCTCACCAGCCACAACAAACCCACCAGCCACAACAACCACAACAGCCCCACCAACAACACCAGCAACAACAGCAACCACAGCATCATCATCAACAACAACAGCCCATAGTAGGTTTTCGCGAACATATTCACGTTATTCACTTGACTTCGTTATTAGCTTCCGTTAATAGCTAATTCCTTTCCTTTGAAACTAGAACACGGGCTTTTGTCGATGAAAACTTCTCTTGGTGCATGTCAATTGAAATAATAGGCTCCTAAAGTAGTTCGCAGTCATTTGAATGGTCGGTCATAAGAAAAGGAATAAAAAATGAAGGAATATAGCTAACTAACCTAGTAAAACTTACGAGTTTTCGAAAACGTTGTAAAAAGATAGTTAACAGTTCCAAGAGAGTCCTTGAATGATACTTTAACAACATCTTGGCGATTGAACAATGGGAGCAAATGACACTCTTTTCATCGTTTTGTGAATAATTAGAACGATTTGCTAATTTACTCTTAGATGGCTGCTGTTCAAGTTCGTCTAAATAGCGATCAACCTCAATTAATACAACAACATCAACGATCGCCTCAACAAGGACATGGCACGACCTCATCTTATGAAAGTATGAGTACTTCAAAACAGTCAACCATTTCACCACAACCGCAAAATCCATCCTACGCTCAACACCAACCACAATCGGCTATTTATTCTACATCGGGAGCTGACCAACACAGTCAGATGGATTCTCCAAGCCCTCAGCGTCGTACTGAGGTGCAACAACAGCAGGTTAAGGTATAAAACCTCTTCGTATAATAAACATTGTTTCGATTAGAAATTCTTATATGTGTTTGTGAAGAATGCAAAACTAATTAAGCACTGTACGAAAGAATTGTAAAAACTATGACTTTTTGAACTAATATCAGCCTTCGGAATAAGTTTTACGATTTTTAATGCTCAGTGACACTATTTTTTAGGCACAAACTACACGACAATCCAATAGTTCATATCAAGAAAATTCTCAATCTGATCAGCAACAACAACGAAGCGGTACGTCAATGAGCCAACAAGAACAATTACAGCAATATTATAGGTAAGAATTTTCTAGAAAAATGAATTGATAACTGCTTCTACATTATTAACTTTCTTATTTAATTTAGTCAGTTGACACCTGAACAATATCAGCAAGTAAATTATTTGTGTATTCATTTCGTAAACTATAACTGATAAATCATTAATATTTCAATAATTTAGTTACTGAGGCAACAACAATTACAGCGTCAACAGCAAGAAGAACAGAAACGACAGCAATTAGCTCAACGTAAGTTATTCATTTTGTCAAATAAATGATTTCATCATCTATCGGGATAAACTACGGATATATATACTATCTCGATGTGTAATTAAGAAAAGATTCTGAATATTTCAGAACAATACCGTCAGCAACAACAATCTTCGTCTGTTCGTGTCGAAAAACAGGACGAGCATTTCGACCAACGGCAATATGATGATGCGCACGCTCGCCAACGCAGTAGATCGGAACAAGAGCGCGAGGAAGAACAAAAATATTACGCTCAACTGGCTCGTCAACAGCAACAAACGCAAAAGCAACAAGTGAGTTTTCTATAAAATGATCGTCACATTAAAAGACTCAGTAATAGACATAGACGGGGCTGGGTTCTGAATCGGGAACAGAACTACAAACCTTTTTTCTGGGACCGAACCGAGACCGACACTAGAACTAGGATTTTCTTTTGACGGTTGTGTGAGTATTTTTTCCTTGTGAGCAGAATTGCTTTAAGAGTCGGGATCAGAATCGGAACCATAAAAGTCTTCCGGGATCGGAACCGGGACTGGAAAGCCTTGATCTTGGCCATATCTACTCAGATATGCTATTCTATCTGAAAAGAAAAAGCTTATCAGAGGATCTTATACTGATTCTCAGTAACAAGGATCTTGTAATTAAGTCGACTGAGTAGACTTATTGCTTTTCACTCAGAAAAAATTCTTTTTCCTACGCGATAATTAATCGTCACGTGATATCGTTCATAGTGAATATATACTATAGTGCTTGATATGGAAGCTATAGCAGAATGTGTGATATGATAATGAATCAGTTGATATAGTTGATTCAGCTGACATGCCAGCTGATTGGTTATCTCTGATCGTACAGATTTCTGGAAACATGATTTAAAAGTGCAGAGATTGTAGATGACAGATCTGAAGTTGGTTTTCGGATATTTGCTTTCGTTATCCTATAATTAGTGCCACAAAATGAGCAAATTTTTTTTAGAACTCTACCATCTTTCCTATGAGATTATTAATCGTCACGTGACTCACTTCATAGTGAATATTTGATATGATGAAAGCTGTAGCAGACCTTCCGAATGTCTAATTCGTGTTGAACATTACCTTTCTAAAAAGAAGTCAAACTGTTATGACTTTCTGCGTGTTCTAATTTCGTCAGTTCACCGTTTCACTCAGTTGACTTTTCAATCTTCCCAAAGGGTAGTTGGTCTCTAGTTAGTTTTACTTTTAGACCCAGTGCTCAGTGTTTTAATGATACGCGTTTTCGCTGCTCTATGCAGGTATCTCCTCACTTTTACGACCGCGTCTCTACGTATTAATGATGAAAAAAGTAAAAATCCCTTGCTGAAAAGGAGGAGTTTAGCTAAAAGCGTAGTGTTAATTTTTATATCACAAATTTAGGAAGAGACTTCTGATATGACAGCTTTATATATGTAATTCAGAAAATGGAAAAAGCCACGAAAGTAGTTTTGAAGGATGTCAGAATTTATGAATGAGAATGAAATAAGTGCACATTTTTTTAACAGAGTGCGGATGCTTACCAAATACAAGAAAATCATAGTCAAGAACAAGCACGTCCAACTCAATCAATTGCAGCTCAACCGATTGCAGCTCAACCGATTACAGGTCAACCGAGATCCGATCACCAGCAACAATCCGCGCAATCAGTTAATACCCAATATTATCAACAACAGTTATCTCAGCAACAACAACAACAACAACATGCACAACAGCCGCCACAGCCAGTTGGTATTCGAGGTTTGATGAGCAAATTTTCTGGTCCCACCGTATTGCAAACATATACACCAAAACCAAAATCACAATCAGAGTCACGATCGTTTCAAACGAGTACATCAACTTATACAAGAAGCCAAATTACGTATAGTAATTTACCACAAGCAAGAGAACCGCCTGTCAATAGTTCTGAATTTCAGCAGCAGCAGCAGTTTTCGAATATTCAGCAAGCCTCTCTACCACAACATATTCAAGTAATGTTAACAAATTTATTTAATGCTAAGTTTTGATGAAAATAGTAGACACAATCAGCTCATCTGCAAATTTTTCTAAAAATAGTTAGAAATAATACATTGGAAACATTGCTCACCTAAAGCTCTTCGTACGAGAAAAATTGCGTGGAATAATATGTATCCCACTTTTTTAAACAGAGTAACACCAAATATACCACAAAATCTAATACTACTTTTTTAAGCAGGGGTACTTCTAACAAAGAGTAAAGAAGTTAAAAGTTTAACTTTAATTAAACAAAATATTCTGTATTAGCACTTTGCTGTGGAATATGTACTTTTCTTTCTATTATTTTTATAATTCTCTCTTTTTTCTTCTTCAAGGGTCCTGCGCCAGGTTTCGGTGCATTACGTGAAAGGTTCAAAGCAACCAATATATCTGAAAATCAGGATGCACACCGCCGACAAGAGCCTTCGTCAGCTAGAGGAACGCTTGGACAACTACGTGAACAATATATGAATCAAACGGTAGCAGCTGGACACGAAGAATCAATGTCACAAATAGTTCAAAATGTTGCCCGTAGTATAGCTCAACAACCAACTACCAGTCGTGTGCATGAACAACCGCATGGACCAAGCGTTGCTCAGAAAACAAATGAATTAGCTGCTTCTTCAGAACCTAGTCACGAAATACAGACGTCGATAGTTGATCAACAACAACAACAACAATCATCACAAAATGAGATCGAGACAAGCGAACAATCATCCGAAGCAGCACTTGCTGAAGGTTCTTCGTCAGCAACCACATCATCGCTGGACGCCGAAGAAAAATCTTCCACTGAAAATATGACGAAAACTACAGAAACAAACCAGACTCCATCTACCGCTACTTCAACACCCAACGTAAAAGTGGCTGCAACTGCTAAATAAACTAGAGAAAAATCTTCAACTTCGATGTACTATTTTCTATACCGATCGGACTTTTTGTTTACAATTTTATCATATGCAGTCAATTAATGATTATTATTACTACCACTAGACTTATTCTCTTCTATATAGGTTATTTTCACATACGTTAGGTTAGTCATATAAATTGCAGAAAAATATTCTTTTTTTTGTCTCCTATATTGATCGAAACAGACGGAAAAGAGAGACCTAACCGGCTGTTTATTTATTGTTTATATCTTGTTATTTATAACAATTATTATCAAAGAGTACTTTTCTTCTTATTTTTTTTGCTTGCTTCATCCACCAGAAACGTTTGTTGCTGTTGGTGAAAACTATCATAAAAAAATATCTTCTAATTAATTTTTTTCCACATATTTCAGTCACCACACATAACAAACACAATAAAATGAAGTCTGTCAACTTAAAGAAAAAACAGTCAATATCTGACATTAAGTGACATATACTTCCAGACATATATTTTATTTTGACTTGTAAAATGAATAGAATATTTAGCTCAATTATAAGGATTATCTAAATATAAAACCTTCATGTTCTTAGTGTTATAATTATTCTCTTATTCCTCTCCTCCTATGGATTTTTTTCCCTTTTTTCCTTTCATTCTTCTTTTATTGGTATAAGTCTAACTGATATCAAAAATAAAACTAAAACAAAGACAATTTATCCTTGATAACACATGAATACATATGCAATCAAATTTTGGGGATCATAATGAATCAATTAACGAGCATCAACCTAAAAATTGCTGAAATCACTGGAGTAACTCTGATGGAATGACAGTTGTACAATCATAAACAGTGCTTGTTAGCATAAAATCATGTCTATATAAGGTGCACATAATGCAAACTTTGAGTAAAACGGTTTTTTGAACTTATTGTACGTCATTGGACAGAGCATTTCGAGCTCAGTAAGAAAATGTATTTTTTAATTTTTGAAAATATTTTTTTTAGGGTGAAAAGTTGAAA